TGCCATGTAAAACTACTAGTTAAGAAACACTAGAGGAGAAAACAGCTAAGGTAGATAGTGGGATCGTTACTATTGTCTTGTACATAATCCACTGCAACTGCACCACCAGAAGGTTGCTTTTCCAGGATTTGGTCACCTTGGGATCCTGCCACCAAAGTGAGCCACTGCTAGTTGAAGGTGGGTGAGGTGCTTCAAGCTAGGAATCATTCCTTGCTGATAGAATCAGAGCTCCCAAGCAAGCTCAGGCAGCTCCCAAACCCAGGCGCTTGCCAGTAGAACTGAAGTAAACCTTACTAAGAGAGGATAAGAAACAAAGAGGCTTCCACACCTTGCCTAGTTCTCTGACTGCAGTGTTCATAGCAGGTAACATCCTCCATTTTAATTCACTGGAGGCCCAAATCTTCCATACAACACTAATATCAAAAAGACTATCTCTGTGCAAGCCCGTCCAACGCTACATAACCAGGATGTCATTTGGATACTCTGGAAAACTTTCCATTGACTCCGATCATACTTAGCAAAAGGAATTGTGACACATGGTAGAGCTGTCCTTGGGAAAAATCACTGCTGTGAAGGGAAACATTCAACAGTACCCTTTAAGAGGGCTTCTGAAGTGTGTGTAGCTCTTCCTCTAGCAGCCTGTCATTCTCCTTCCTATGAGCATTTCTTGAATAAGTGGTAACAAAAACTTTAAAGCTGTTCTTGTCAATATCTGGGAATAAACCTTTGAAAACAGAGGCAGGACTGGAGAATCACTGGATGACCTAAAACAAGCTGTACACACACAACTCTTGCTTACACCATGACCTTTGGCTGCATAAACACTGTACACCCTACTGTGCTATGCATGCCTGTATATCTTGGAAACAGCTTAAAGAAAGCAGCTGCACAACTGATTTTATGCCAGGTTTCCCCATTGGTTTCCTTTTCTAAATAATTCCTTCACCTTAGGCCTCGCTGTTGTGTTTGGATCGAGACGTATCTGACTGCATTTAAAATTTACATTAATTATACCTACAGTTACGCTCATTAATGAAACACTAAAGAAGAGAGAGGATTCTTCCACATGATTTTCTCTTTTTGGAACATAAGAAGGGTATTTTATTCTTCAATTGCTTTTGTAATCATCTCCTGATAGCTACAAACGCCCGATGTCCATTAAAGCCAAAGGAACCAGACCTCTCCTCTAATAAATTAGCATTCCTCCACCAAGTTCTGTGTAACTTGACTGACCTCAAAGCGATTAGCTCACCTTACACTGAGAGAAGTCTGAATAATGTCCAAACAATGACTGTCACAGTTAATACTAGGAGAAACTGTGAAGAAAAGGTGCTTTCTAAAACCAAACTACAAGAACAAGTTGGTAGACAGAAAAATACAGAATTGTAAGTATTGTGTGTTCATTCCACTGCTTTAGAATACCACATCCAGCATTACTGCCCAAAAATTCAAAAAGTTGGAAAGCTTAAGATGGCTTAATACAGATGAGCAGAATGGATTGAAGGCAGGAATAAATGCCTTGTAGCATGAGCTTCAGTGTGAACTACTAAAATCTTTAAATGTAGACCTGTAACTTCTTTGTTTATTGCTATGGGGGCATTCACAAGAAAGCAGCAAACATTTGAGGCTCTCTAGTCTGTCTAAATAAAGACATAATCAAAAATAACAGCAGAAGTTGTAGCCACACAAAATGAAACCAGGAAAGAGCACGGCAGCTCAGCATTCTGGGTCACGGCCAGAACCAGCAGAAGCCCACAGAAGAGATTATGGTCTGGAGGAAGAGCTCCACCAAGACAACATGATGTGAGGCCTTTACATCTCAAAGAGGATTTAGCTACACAAGTATACTCTAGAAAAGCTTACCTCAACATATATTGGTTGATTTATCAAATGCAATGAGGACAATCCAACATGGACACAAATAAAATACTTGTCACCCATGCAAGGAGAAAGTATTTAATAAGCAGTTTCAAAACCCTCAACTCTGATTTGGATGGTTGGACTGGATGATCTTGTAGGTCTTTTCCAACCTTGATGTTTCTGTGATTCTGTGATTCTGATACACCTCTTCCTGAAGCCAACAGGCCTTTAATGGGAATGAATAGATCAAAGCAAAAACCCCTACATAGAGTAAGGAGAAATCCAACCTTGAAATAGAAGTAAAAATCCAAAGAAATACCATATTCTACATAATAGTGTACAGGAAGGAGAAAAACACTGGACCATAGACATCTTTGCAAATCCTAACTTGGTGGCATTACAATGTGGAGGCACAAAAGAACCTGGACTTCTGAAGTACACTCATGTAAACTAAGTCCTCTTTAAAAAGATGTTCGTGGCCCTGAGAAGGACATAGGACCCTGACAGTTCTCACATAACACACATAGTGGTTTACCTACGAATGGTATTTTAGAATCATAGAATAGCTTGCATTGGAAAGGACCTCAAAGATACAGTTCCAACTCCCCTGCTGTGGGCAGAGTTGCCAACCACCAGCTCAGGCTGATGCCCCATCCAACCTGGCCTTGAACACCTCTGTGGATGGGGCACCCACAGCTTCTCTGGGCAGCTGTGCCGCTGTCTCACCACACTCTGAATGAAGAATTTCTTCCTAATCTAAACCTCCCCTCTTTCAGTTTAAATTCATTCCCTCGTCCTCTCTCTTCTCATTTACATGAACAGTATTAAGGTAATTGTTGATAGCAGTCACGATGACATTTTGATTTGGTTTTAACCCGACATCATCTAAAGCTTAAACATGTGAATGGGATCCTGCAGCATCAACATTGTGGACGCGCCAGGCAATAAGAATAGGCCAGATTTTCAATTGGTCTAGAGCACAGCTGTAAATACAGAAAGAATTTTCAAACCTTCCAACTATCTGTGCAGAAAGGGAAGGAAGTGGAGCTTGGACCTTTCAGCCAGATTTACAATACAGGAGCGCAGGGGCACCTACTGAAAAATACACACATTTGCAAGATCCTGGTTAATGGCTGTGCTGCTTTGTGTCTGCAAACCCTGTGGAACAGAGCTGAGCAAAACAGCCCAGGCTGCTCCAGACCTTACCTACCTCCTTCTACCTGCATCTCGACATGCCAGACTGCAATATATATTTTGAAGGCAACTTACGAATTTTAAAACGGCACTATGAAACCAAATTCTTTATTAAAATGACTTGATTTTAATAATCATTAATTACTAAAGGTAGAAAAGAAAACATATGGGGATAATGTCTTTGTTTTAAATCTCTGAGAATACTTCAAAACGCAGAAGAATCACTTCTGATTGGGAAAAGATCTCTTTACTGTGAGGCTGACAGACACTGGAACAGGCTGACAAGAGAAGCTGTGGAGTCTCCTTCTCTGCAGATATTCGAGACCCATCTGGACACTTTTCTGTGCAAGAAGACCTCCAGAGGTCCCTTCCAACTCCTACAATTGTGTGAGGGCCGCAGATGTGAAGATGTGGCTCTAGGGATGGGAGAGCACCTTCATGCTGCCATCGCTCTGTATAATAGGCCTGTTACCTCATGGTAGGGCAGAACACACGGTTCCCTTGCTGTGCTGCATTCCTGCTCTCCCAAAGAAACATGAAGAGCACAAAGCCCTGTTGCAGCCTGTTCCTGCTGCAACACCTCTCCACTTCAATGCCCACTGAGCTGAGCTGTGCTCAGTCATTGCCTTGCTGGTGAACCGTGTATTTCTGAAATAGGTTTGCACTTTACTGGTAAATGCTATCCCCATGAGTGCTGCCACTGTCCAGAAAGAAGAAATAACAGATGCTGCTGTTGTCAGAGGGCAGTGAGTCCAGACAAGCACTCTGGAGGGGGCACACAGAAGCACATCCAGCTGGCAGCACCGCAGAACTGCTTCAGTTCCAAATGCTTTAGAAGCACAAAAGGGATACTTTCACCCAAAGACCTGATTGAAGAGGGTGCACAACAGGTCAGAATAATCCCTGTTAAATGTTTTGATTGCTCTACAAAATATTTACCCTTTTAGAAACTCAAGGCTTTTTTTTTTTTTCCTAATTATTATTCAAAAAGTAAAAGAAGCTTTAAGAAAGGTCTTCTTGCAGCTCTGAAGTTATCAAGCAATTCCCATAATTCATCAAGGAGGCTAAAATAGGCAAAACAATAGCACCTCCTATTTTTTTTTTCCTCCATTCACACAAACTTGTTTGAACAAGCAATAGCTTCATCAAGGGATTACCGGTATGGTCAGGGTAGACAAGTTAAAAGAAAAACCTGAACTGGAGCAGCAATCTCCAGCACACAGGCTGCACCAGTCATCAGCAAGCTGTTTGTGTGCACCTGGAAATCAAGTGTTAGGGAATGGATTTGATTTGTAGGAAAAGTCTGACCAATACACTGGAGAGAAACCGATAAAAGGTAGTTAACAGCAATATCCATGCAAATACAACCAAAAATTAAACTATAGTTTGCCTGAATACAGTTTAATTGAACTCTGACAGCCAAACACAACTGTCAGCAAACAATCTGTGCATTGCAGGGGAGTTGGACCAGATGGCTTTCGAAGCTCCCTTCCAACTCAAATGATTCTGCGATTCCATGACCAGGAATTTTCTTGCGTGCTCTCCTTCTGTGCTTTATTTGCTCTTACTGGCTCCATTTTGGCACGCTGCAGCCTCATCCAACACTTTCATATTTGAAAGTACAGAACACACTTGTAGACTGCAACGTGATAAATCTCAAAAGAAATCTGTATCTCGCATTATTGGGCTCTTAATCCTTTTAGGTGTGTGCAAAAAAGTCAGTGCTGACACATTAAAACTGCCAGGTGCTTGCAGTGGAAGCTGCAGGGTTTCACAAGGGGTCCGGCCACACCTGTTTGTAGAAATTCTCACACTCCTGAGCGGGACTTTTGCCACCGGGATGAGTCACTGAGAGCAAAGGCACCATTTGCAGAGGCAGCAGCTGGTGGCTACACGCATGTCTGCACTGCTCACTCTGGGAGAGAGGTGCACCTGGAGCCCACGGCACGGCACGGCACGGCACCCCCTCCAATAACAGCCACCCGAAACATGGCTGCGCTTGAAAGCAGCTTTCATGCTTTCAGAGACGAATAGCTTGCAATGGAACCGATCTCTCACCGGTACCTATAAAAAAGGTGAGTTAGGAGAAGCACAGTGTGGTTTCTTTACCTCGTGGCAGCATTACCAGCTACTGATAAGAGCTGTTCTGCTGGCTCTGTTAGCGCAGCAGGCATTTGGCAGCTCAGGCACATTCCTTACTCTCTGTTTTCTGATAGTTCTGTTTGTCACTGGGGCAGCTCTCATGGCCAGCACAGCACAGCAATTCACCTTGGGCAGGATCCTGCAGACCACCACAAGGCCAACGGGATGGGCGAAATTGCAATTCTGAATCTGTTTCTTTTAAATTTACTCAGTCTGCCAGCCCCCTGCAAGTAACTTCAAGGCTTCAGTGTGAATTTCTGACTCCTTTTCTACATGTAAGGCACTGACATTACATCAACCTTCAAACATATCTCGTGTGTAAACCAATTAATTCTTACAGCAAGGCATCACTTGGTAACCACAAATCTTATGCTCTTTTTATTATTTTTTCGCCTGATCTCAGCCATGACAAATAAAACTGCAAAACTTGCTACTGTCTTCTTCTCTGCTAGCATCTCCCCATTGCAAAGGCATTGATAAATACTTGGTTGATGAATTTGCAGTTCAGAGGTGTATGACTCAACGTCAAGCTGAGTATCTGTACCCAGGGCCAAGCTCATCCTGAGTTCCCAAGCCAGAAGAAACTGGGAACGTTGTAAAAGCACCTTGCTGAGCCCTGAGGGTAAGGAGCGGCTTATATTGCTCTGTGACTAACGTAACACTCAGCACAGACTTGTTTGGCAGAATACGCCCCAAATCTTACAAGACCAGACCCTATGTTGAATCCTACTGCGTTGAAAATTCAGCAACAGGAATTTTCCTCATTGAAAAAAAAGAAGCCTCTGTCTTTAGGTTTGGTAACTGGCACTGAAATTCAGCATTAACAATATCAGGCTTAACAACAACCAAAACCAATTCCAGAGACCACAGTCCTGGTTCTGCAAGCACAACACACATAGGATTCAGAGCATTTTCTGCACGTGTGCAAAATCAGGCCTGTTTTTTTTCCATCATTTTTTGGGACACATCATTCAAGTCAGCACCAATCCAAAACAAATCTATGCCATGCGTAAGATGCAAGCACATACAACGCATTGCAATTACTTATATAAATGTTATGGTCAGACCTCTTCATGTACATTATACATAAAATACGTATATGTATTTGAATCTCATTAGCAAGGGTCTTTAGTTCCACAAAAAGACGTTGGAATAAGGTGAAAAGGAACTTTCATTGTAACTTCCTTGCCAAAAAAGAGGTAAGAACATTATCTTACAGAGAGTCAATGAAAGTATGTTGATGGAAGACTGTTAACCTCTTCATCAAGCCTGTGCTAAGGGACCACTGAAAAGTAAAGAAAGAAGCATCTAGCAAACTACGTACTTGTTTGCATTACCTAACAAAAGCCAAAGAATGCTAAGTAAAAGACAAGTATTTATTCTCTAGTGAAAGCCAGACTAACAGGGAAGTCACACCACTGTAACAGTGCTGGAATGAAGTCAGGAAGAAGAACAGTGAGGAAGCAACATGCTCTGTCATTAATTTTTCACGTCTGCCTCTTAAAAGCAGTACAACCCCTCGTAGTGGAGCATTGCTGGCAAAACGGACCCTCAAAAATGCAACACAGTGACAATACTTCGGAGTCCTAACACTCACTCTCCCTTGGTAAAGCACTGCATTGCTCTAATTATATTGCAATAATAGGTATTCTCGTATTACTGCAGCAGTAGGTGGACATGTCCCAGCAGCAGCTAATCAAAAGGTACAAACGAAACCAAAGGTGAAATGAAGAACTAAGAATTGTGCAAAGCAACAAACAAATTTGGGAAGAACACAAGTTTGGTCCTTCATTCTTTGGTCCTGGGCAGCAGATGCTAAGCACAGCTCTCACCACTGGGTAGGGTCCCTAATTCCCAAAAGCCCGATTCTCAGCTGGCACACGTAGCTTCGCTTCGTGTAGCCTGCAAGTTGCCAGCTGCTGTTTGCTTACTGTATACACTGGACTCTCATCCTGCTGCAATCCGATCAGGATGTCCTAGCAATAAAGCCAGGGCTGGACTTGAACACAAACAGCACTCCAGAAGCAATGCTCAGTGGCATCAATAATGAGACCAAGAGGTCAACAGAACCACCGGCGAGCCTAACCACCTACCCGTACCCGTCGGAGGCGTAGTCCCCCCCGTAGGTCTTCTGGTAATAGTAGGTCTTGTGAGTGTGGGTGCCGCCGCCGCCGCCGCCGCCGCTCACCACATGGGAGCTCATCTCGTAGCGCAGGTCGGTGCCCGAATCGGCCCGCGCCATGCGGCCCAGCGTGTTGATCCGCGGGTGCGAGCCGCCGTTCATGCTCATGGCGGCGGGACGGAGAGAGGGCGAAGCGGGCAGCGGATGGACAGCCGACCCACAGCCGGAGGGGAGAGCGGCATTCACCGCCCGGAGAGCCCGAGCTTAGGGGGCGGCAGGGCGGGCGGGGGCCGGGATGTGAGGGAGGGTGGCTGGGCGAAGCAGCGGGTCTTGGGCGGCGGAGGCTGCAGGCGGTGGTGGTGGCGGCTGCAGCAAGAGCAAAGGTCCCGTCCCGTCCCGTCCCGTCCCGTCCCGTCCCGTCCCCTCCCCGCCGGCACAGGAAAGGCGAAGCCACACCTTTCGACGGCGGTTTTAAGCGGCGGTGCGGGGCGTGGAGCCGCCTCGCCTTCAGCCCGGCCCGGCGCTTTCCCACCCCGCCCTCTGCACCGGCGTGGCCCCGGCCGGGCTCGCTGACTGCTTTGGTTCCTTCACGAGTTCTCGGTGCGGACGTTGTGGCCTCATTAAAAACTTCCGATCGAATTTAGGCGAAATCTACCGCTTTCCTCATGGTACTGCATGGCCTCCAGAGCGCTGTGGTGACGATAGCTGTAGGTGCACCAACGATTCCGAATACCATGGTACAACTCCGGAAGGCAACTTGAACTCAACAAAGACAGCACCTGTTAAGTCAGCGTGGTTATACCATGGACGAGCGTGCTCTGCACACAGCAGCCATCTCCCCGCTGATGTGCCCATTGGAAAGCAGTATAAATGGTTCCACCAGTTCACAGACACACTGGAATCACAGAATCACAGAGTTGTAGGTGTTGGAAGGGACCTCTGGAAATCATCGAGTCCAACCTCCTGCTAAAGCAGGTTGCACAGGAAAGTATCCAGGCAGGTTTTGAATCTCTCCATTGAAGGAGACTCCGCAGCCTCTCTGGGCAGCCTGCTCCAGTGCTCTGTCACCCCCAAAGTAAAGAAGTTTTTCTACACGTTCAGATAGAACTTCCGCTATTCCAGTTTCTGCCCACTGTTCCTTGCTCTATTGCTGCACACCACTGAAAAGAGCCTGGTCTCATCCATTTGGCTCCTGCGCTTCAGATGTTTATAAACAGTGTTGAGATCCCCACTCAGTCTTCACTCCTCCAGGCAGAACAGCCCCAGTCTTTCCTCACAGTGGAGATGCTTCAGACCCCTCATCATCTTGGTGGCCCTCCACTGGACTCTCTTTAGAAGTTCCCCATCTTTCTTGGACAGAGGAGCCCTAAACCGGACAGGGTACTCCAGATGTGACCTCACCAGAGGTCCGCCAGGCAGAAGCACTGCCAATATTCCAAGCCCAGTCCATTTCTAAAAAGGCCCTGAAACCATCACATCCATGGATGGCTTTCTTGATGCCTGAAAGTTTAGTTTTAAAAAGTGAAAAATGTCAGATGCCAGAGACAAAATTGCTCTAACACATTTGGGTGTGTGCAGAATGTCAGCAAAGGCAGTTTGCTGTAGGACGCCCAGCAGCTCCTTCATTCTCAGCCACTGACTGCTGCTTTGTCTCAAGGACCAACTTGAAACCGTTTCTTACCTGTGTTTAACTGCACTTCATCAGCTGTTCTGGCCACTTGACCTTGATGTTAGAAAGCTGAGGAAAGATGGTCAAATTTTAAGAAGTATCTGTCACTCATGGATAAATCTGCCAAGGCATTCATCTCAAAGTGCTGTACAGCCAGCCAGCTATGTAAGTCATCCACATCTGTAAATTCTTGGGCCCTTTTCTATCTTTCCTGCACCAATTATTTTCTTGGTATTTTAGATCTGAGTGATAAACCACATCCCAACTCAAACACTTGATGTGTTTGACACATCTGAACACTTCATGTGTTTGACACATCTGATTCAAAAAACAACTGAAAGAGAGCAATCCTCTGCAGTGCCGCTGTAAATGACAGAAGAACCTAACCTGCTGCTGCAGTTGGTGGTGGATGCAGCACAGTGGAAGCTAAGAGCTGTTCTGAGCAAATATGATGTTGCCTGGGGCTGTACGGAGTACTACGAAGTAGCAAAATGCAAGTTGGCCATTAGTTGTGAAGTCACACAGTGACTTCCATATTGGAATATGTATTCTGTACTATTGAATCATTACGTAGCAGCGCATGTATCGATTGATTGATACAGGTTTATGTATTCATGTGGATTTGGGGTGCTTTTTTGAACAAATCTGCACGAGTTGATGATTTGACGTTACACTCCAAGTCATCAGGGAGCAGAATACAAAAACAGTAAGGCTGAGTAAGAACGACAGATACAGTCCAGGTTTTCACTACGCAGATATAGAGATCACTGCATTCGTGACACCTGCATATTTAAAAGTCAGATTTTTCAAGAGCTGATGCATTTATAAATACACAAATGGTAAGCATTTTTTTTCAGCAGGTCCCTTTGAAAGTTGTCTGTTTATATGTATGGGTATTTAGAAATCTGCAAGTATTACAGTGATTTGGCATTCTTGCTGAGTTTTAGCACCACCTCCAATCAGCCCCACCTTTTTCAGCTTGGTCTAGTGTGCCAGCTCAGTGAGACACTCCATTATTTGTGATGGAGACAGCATGTATATGATACACCCAGAGGCCCAAATGAGTCATTGTTACCTGGACATGTTGAAAAATGTGCTTAAGTAGCAAATGGATTCTGCTGGTCCTTCTTGCACAATTAGCCCCTCTGGAATTCAGAGGAGAGAATAATACTGAACTGACACTGAGAACAGCTCAGTGCTCCCATGCAAGCTACTTTCATGCATAGGCAGTAGAAATCAGTAAATACAGCTATTTTTATTTTGCTGAAACAAAGCAAATTTTTGTAGGTGCTATCTGGAGGTAGAATTGGTGGAATTGGTTATCTTGAAACAATAACAAGTGACGTGGGCATAGCTTAAAACTCTACTTACTGTGGGAAAACATTGGAGTCATAATTTGAAGATAACTGCTTTGACCTTGCTTCACTGCTCCTAGAATACAGAGTTCTGTTTCTTAATACATGGATTCATGAAAACTGTCTGGGTCTTAGAAGACTGTCTTTAAGCAAGTTAGTCTAAAGTAGACGTAATATTCTCTCCTTGCTTCTGAAAGCAAGAGCTGTGGTCTGTTCTGCAGTCCTGTATCCTAACTCACCTCCTCTGGAACTGGATAAATTAACAGAATGCCACTACATGGATG